TGCTTGCTTGCTTGCTTGCTTGCTTGCTTGCTTGCTTGCTTGCTTGTTTGCTTGCTTGACTGCTTGTTTACTTGCTTCTTGCTCGCTTGAGTGCTTGCTTGTTTGCTTGTTTGCTTGCTTGAGTGCTTACTTGCTTCTTTGTTTGTATGTTTGTTTGTTTGTTTACTAACTTTTCATATTGGCACATTAATCTAATCCCATGTACTTGCTGGGATGTAACCGCTTGTGTGTATCTTACGAAAATCTTAATTTGTATGTTCTTTTTTTATTCCCTCTTTTTTCGTTTTTTTCCCCTTCTTTATATTTATTTTCAATTCTCTTTCTTCTTTTCTGTCTTTCTCTTATCCCCTTTTTTCTTACATTGATTTCCTTATCATATTTTTATTGGTTTACTTTGTCCAAGGCCCTCCTATCCGCTGGCATTACTCCCAATAGATGGAACTGCCACAAAGCGTTGAACTTCATCCTGCAGAGTCAAGGTAGTGATGGTTCGTTCCAGACATACATAATGTCAACAGCACAAGTCATGCCTGTTCTGATTGGCGCTATTCCTAGTGACGTAACACAACTTGAATGTCCCAGAAATATAACAGCAGTGAACAAAAATGTAAGTCGGCATAAAGCTTTGCAAGTCTTAATATTACTTTCAATGTATTTCATTTGGGCTGCATCAGGCCTACTTTTTACCTGTCCAATCGCGTTCGTTGCCTTAGCGACAAAAATGTTAAACGTGTGCGAAACTCGCGAGTTCGACTGCCAATTGCTTACTATCAATCATGTGGCTTTTTGGAGTTGACTGGGGGGCAAACAAGCGGTTGACTGAGGGGTAACTAGCGGATGTTAAGTCAAAACATGTCAAAATAAGGCCTCAAACTATTGTATTTGACTATTTTCGCGACATCAAACCAGAAAACAAAAGATCAAAACAACCTCCAAAATTCTACAAGGCATTAAAAACGCTGCTATTACAGGAAGTGACGTCTATTGATAGCAACCTATTCTAAAACTCTTGCTACGCCACTAGCTTGGGCTACCTGTGCTTAAATAAGACTGATGAAATATTAATTTCTCTCATGTTTCGTAGCCAATCACGGTGTGCGTTCGTTTGGAGTTCCTCACCACCTCTTCCGATGGTAAACTAGGAACACCCCCTCCTCCTGTTTCCTTGACGGTCCTCAACGGCACCAATACCTACGATATTCTTGTCCTCGCATCGAAACAGCACGACTGTTACAAGTTCAACACCACCATGAGTGCATGGGGTAACAGTCTCACGTCTATTTGTGGCGTGGCCAAAGATCCCGCTAATAAGAAGTACTGGATGATCTACTCTGACCCCACCACATTGACTCCTACAGGGATCGACTCGTATCGCCCCAAGGATGGTTCTTGTGTTATTTTTAAGTACGAAAAACTTAACTTTCGTTAACAGCGCGGGTCAACAAGACTCCAGAATTTTTAGTGGATTTCGATAAAATTATCGTTAATTGACACTTTCTTTTTCGAAGTCTTTTCGTCAAAGGCATATATCTTCCATATCAAACTTCGTAAGAAAATGGCAGTGGGTTAAGAAAAATTTAAAAAAACTTAAACGAAGTTTAACAGCGCGGGTTAAAAACTTGAGATTTCATAATAGCTTCGATAAAATTATCGATACATGTATCATTAACGTTTCTTGTTTTACTGGGTGTTCTATTTTCGTTATAGCCATACAACTTTGTAAGAAATGGTGATGGTTCAATTTTATCAATAGAAAATATTGGTATTAAAGTATGATAAAATAAACTCTCCTTTTCTAGTATGCATTTCAAAAGTGAAAGACAAAGCCTCTATTTTCCACAGGGTGACCGTACCAACAAATCACGGAGACTTTTCCCCAGCCTTCCCGGTCCCAGAACCTTAAAATTGAAGGGAGGAAAAGAGGAAGGTGTATATATAGTATAAGGGCGTAAAACACTGGATTTAATCAACTGTTCATAAATCCCGCTTCCTGATTGGCTGGTGTGCGTGCTTTATGATTGCACACACCATGCAACCGCGCGAGACAAAGTTCGTCATTAGGAACGGTTCTCTTGATTTTTATTTTATAAAAGAAATAATATACTTGTCTGCCGTGCTGTGTGTAGTTGTAAATGCATACAATGTTACAAATGTGCATAGAAATGTTAGAAAGTAGAACAAAACATTGCAAAACGTAGTTTGTGCTTTTAGCTTTTCCCTGAAGGTGCCTATGAAACAAAGAAAACGGAATTATTAACAATGTAAGTGAATGTAATGATAAAAAAATGTCACCGACTAGACTGCTTAAAAGACAGGCCGACTGACTGACTGAC